GTATAAGCCGAGGCGGCTTTTTTCAGCTCAAAAAGTGGGCTGAAAAACTAGGCTTATACTTGAGTATATACAGTAAGCGAGCAGTTCCTAGATGGGGAACTGAGTGCCTAAAAAGTGAACTTTCTTTTTATTAATCTCTTAATTCAGGGTAGAGTTGGGGCAGTCCCTAACCTAACTCTCTCAAGAAAAAGAGTAAACAGTAGTGCAACTTTCATGTAATTAAAGTTATGAAAGACAAGATCAGAGTAGGATCCCAGTATGAGGTTCCTCTTTTCCCTATCAACAACAACAACAGAGTTTGTAGCTTTCAAACTCCCCCCCCTACTTCTTACCCCACTAAATTCTTTTGCAAAGCAGGAAATGAAATGTGACAATGTTGTGACTCAGTTGAAAGTTGATACTTACAGGAGGACCAGGATCTCCAGTTGGACCAGGGTCACCAGGGAATCCTATCGGACCCTGCGATGGAGAAATGCAATAAGGCATAAATATCGGAAAGTACCAGTTTCTCCAAAGGTGAAAGGAAACCACTCCCTCACAAGCCTAAGTGAAAACAGTATCAATTGCAGATTACATCAGTTGGTCTTGTTTCCAGATTTCTAGATCTCCTGAATTTAAGAACTGAATTGAGAGAACACCCTCTTGAATTATGCCAACTACGTTAGAGGATTGCAACTGAAGACATGTGGTTCATTCCAGTTTTATCAATTAATTTATATTAATCAATTAATATTAATCGATTTATATCAATTGATACTAACTGCATCTTGAACAGCTGCAGTTAACTTTACTTCACTGCAAAATGAGAGTGCTCACTCAGCTATCCATTCAAAGCAGCCGTGAAATCTTTCCTGGAAGTTGCTATAGAAGTGGATAGTCAAAAAGGCCATAGAATCATTTTATATCATATTTAGATGGATCTGACATGTTTTCCATAAGAGAGGTAGGACCAAATAGCTGTTTCCACTTTGACGTTCAGGAATCATTAACTCACCATGTTCCCTTTGGATCCATCTTCTCCTGGGGGGCCTTTTTTCCCAGGTGGCCCTGCTGCTCCAGACTGGCCAGAATCTCCTTTTTCACCAACATCACCTTTCACTCCCTGTGAATGCATAGAGAGAGATATAACCCACCATTATTCATTAAATCATCCTTAGCATTAAGCTGCTCACTTAATCAAAGAGAGGGAAGGATCAATTAATCAAGTGATCCTATACTTCAGAGAGTGATGTAATATAGAGCAGTGTTTCTCAACCTTGGCAACTTGAAGATGTCCAGACTTCAACTCCCAGAATTCCCCAGCCAGCGAATACTGGCTGGGGAATTCTGGGAGTTGAAGTCTGGACATCTTCAAGTTGCCAAGGTTGAGAAACACTGATATAGAGAGACATTGAGTTCTAAGTAGCACGCCCTACTAAGAATGGGGAAGGAGTACCACAGTTGAAGTCTTCTCAAAACTTGGAAACTTACTTGTTGGCCTGGCTGCCCTGGTGGTCCAGGATCCCCTGCTTCCCCTGGCTCACCCTAGAAGGTAGAGAAAAAAATAAAGAGGGAATCTTGAACCAATCTCTAGCCAATGTTGCATTTCCAGTTCTTATTTGAGACCAGTTTTCAGATATGCACATTGACACATACTAACATCTACCCATCTATTTTTAAAAACTAGACTTCCTCAATGTACCCATGAACTACTTCATTGGTCTGTGCCATGATGCCTGTCATTTTTCTTTTTAAAAAAATATTTGAAAAAATAACTTCAGCATGATCTTTATTTCCAATAACACTGTTGGTTCTCACAAACACTTTTAGAACAAAAATATCAGTTGAAATCAACCCAGAGCGTTGTTTGGAAGTATATCATCTGTCTACAAACCTCTACACAGGGGAGAAAGAGAGGGAGGGAGGGAAAGAAAGAGAAAAAAAATAAAGGTAAGGTAGACAAGAATCTGTGAAGTTCAAATAGGATGGTGACAGGCATCCTTGTCAATTTGTTTTAGAGTGAATATTTTTTATTAGCCATACAGACTATTTTTTTTTTAATGTAAAAACTTGTAATACATTCTCAGAATGAGGATGAAATTTTAAAATCAAGAGAAAACTTTTCTGGTTAGAAACTGTCCCCTGAGACAAGATTCAGGTTCTGATATATCTAGGAACTCCAGAAGAGCCTAGAAGTCATTGGACCCAGATTTCCTTATCCTTCCTTTAGATGCTTATCTAAAGCAAATGTATATTATGCAGGATTTTGTTATCCTCCTATCTATGGACATGTTCTGCAAGCTAAAATGTTCTTTATAATTCTTCCTCTACCTGTTGATAGCCAGAGCACAATGAACATACATTAATTTCTTGATATTTCCAGCTTTCATCATACTCTCTTCCCTTCCTATTTGTTACCACACGCAATTTGTTTCCTCTTGAATAACTCAAAGCACCATGTATCCGCTGCTAGCTAAATTCTAGGCTGCAAGAGAAAAGAGTATGCAAATTTTACAGGGAGATTACAACCTTCTGTTCCCTTGCAGAGATGTGGATGTACTGAGGAAAATGCTGAGGCCCATGGTGTTGGTTCCAATACCATCACATAGTGACAGGCCATTAATTCATTGGCTTTGTATTTTTATGCAAACTTATCTCATTTGCATTTTCCAAGCTAGCACAAATCTCCTTCATGGTACACTCTTTTTCAAATATTGCTATGCCATTTCCAAATAAAAGATAATATGCTGAAACAAAAATGCATCCCAGAATGTGGATAGAATGGAAGTTGTATTTCAAAATGCACCGGATTAAAATGCTTACCCACATGCATCGGTCACGAGAAAGGCATATGAATTTTCATGCATATTTTGGTAGGCAGGGGTGAAAAGAGATCACAAATGAATATAGAAATGGGATAGAAGAATTAGGAACACACTCTAGCTTCATAGATTCCCCCTTTCAGCACTGCACCTGCCTCCCCTCAGGAAAAATCCCAAGTTCCCCCAATGCTGACATCAAATACTTCACATCCCTTAGGCCGTGTTTGATGAAGTCATCTGTATATCACAGGGTTAACCCCTTCACCTGAAATATCCTCTCAGGCCTCACCTTTTCACCTACGGCACCAGGCTGGCCTACCCCACCACGCTGACCTTGTGGGCCCTGAAATAAAAAGATACACAACAACTAGTTGAGAGAAATCACTCAGTCCTGAGTGTTAACTGCTAAACCGATTACTTAATCAGTTCAGAGCATTCTGCTCCCTCCAACTAATAATACATGCGTTTATTATCTGAAGCCTTGTTGTTTTTAACTCATCCCCTTTTGCCTTATGCCACAGCTTCAGACTGAATAACTCACTGACATTTACCATCTTTGGATGGTGCGATTTAATACCCTGAGCATTTCCTGACACCAAACTATGTTTCTCTTTTCGCATGCAGGGAGCTTCATGCATATCAGAAGGCCCTACAAATTAATGGATGCTGCTGAGCCCAGGCACTTACTTAAATTGATTTTCAAGGGTCCTCATATGATTACTTGACATGCTGCATTACCTAGGCATCTATCTATCCGCTCAATAGCTACAACCATTGAAGTATCTTGGGGATGCTTTCCTGGTGGGACCATTCATCCATCAAATTAGCACATCATGGAGACCCATGAAGCTATGCTTAGCAGTTGTTCTATTTCCATGGACCTGTTTTTGAGCTTCTATTGATAAAGGGAAGGCTGAATTTGTTTTATGACTGTATTAATTTTTTCTCTCTCTATCAGTTTAATCTATATGCTAGGTTTATTTCAATAGCCATTAGCCTGTTTAATTTACTTCTTAATTTTCTATTCTATCTTTCGATCTGCAAGGATCCCCGGGAGCATCCATGCTTTATGGTTCTGATTATATTGCATCTAAAACTATTACAATGAGTAATGTCATAAAACCCAATCAATAAATGAAAAAAAAAATATGTGGTCACCGTAACTGTAATTGTTTTGAAACTGTTGTTACAAAGTCAATGGATGCAGATCATTTCCATTTAGAAGATTGCTCAATGTGCAATGTACTGTATATATTACACAAGAGCTTTTATATAAAATGAACATGTGAGCTCAGCACTATGAATAAATGTGCTGATCTATCACTTGGAACATATCTGGAATATAGTGTGGTAAATGGGAGCTATACAGATATTTGGAATTTTCTCATCTGCCATATTTTCATATTCAACCAGCAATACTTCATAGTATGTCTTCTCAATAGTCCAACTACACTTGCACTAGTCATTCATATAACGTGTTGCAACTCCATGCAACTCATCTTCAAGGATTATCCAAATCTGTCAGTCTAATATTTATATACAAATTGATGTCTCCGTCTTCCCTAGGAGGAAGATGGGAATATAGTGTTGAGTTACCCAGGATACTCAAATGTCTGAAATCACTCTTCTCCCCATTTTGCCCTACATGAGAAAAAAATATTGCTCACATCTCCACCACTGGAACCTTGTGGACCTCGGGCCCCTGGAGCTCCAGGTGGACCCTAGAGAAAACGGAAAGGGAATGATTCATAGGTGATCCTAATAATAAAATCAAACCCAGGGTCAAAGCCAGAAGGTAAATGAATGACTCTTACCATTAACCCAGTTTCACCACTTTCGCCCTTTTCACCTGTGATCCCTGGCATTCCCTGTGAGGGAAACACACACGTATATAGCAGTCTACAGTTGAGCAGTAGAAGGCATTCCATTCATTTTCTGATTCTGCACAATGCTCAGATTTAAAAGAGCATATGTGAAATTTAGGTAGCATGTTTTCTCTCTCTCTTTTTAGAAAAAATATTTGTGACTGAACTTCGGATTTAATAGGGAGATCGATCTAGGCATAGTAATGAAAGTGACATGATTGTGTAACTGCACCAAAATCTTGAATAATCAAATGAAATGTTTTCATTTTTACGGTAACATAAGACTTCAACAAACTATGATAATTACATTCCTTTTTAAATTAATATTTGGAGAAACAAGATATTCCCAATATATCAAATTTCAGCATATCAAAATTTAGCCAAAGATTGGTTTGCGCTAGAATCATAAACCAAAGGTTTATTTTTTAAAATATTTGAACTTCATGGGTTTGGATGTTTGGCTTTTAATTCAATAGCACATTTGTACAATGAACCAGCTAAAGATAACTGTGATTGCATAACACTAAACCAAAAAAAATGAAGCTACCCAAGTTATAAATCATTCAAGACATTTAATGTCTTGTGTAAATGTAGCTATTATGTTTTTAGCAGATTTGCTTAAACAGTTCATTGGGTGAGTTAACAGCCACGATCTCTTAGCCAAGCTTACTTCACAATGCTAGTGTTCTGAGGATAAAATGGGTGATCCTTGAATGGGCTGTTTGAATTCCCAAAGGAAGGAGAGGATTTAACTGGGTAGAGAAATAAAATGAATAGAAACCTGTGGGGTTTTTTTGTGCTGCCTTCATTCAAATTAATATAGCCTTCTAAAGATTGTTTGTTGGTCTCATACCCACCTGTAAACCAGGTGGGCCACTGACACCTGGCAAACCACGGACTCCTTCATCTCCTTTTTGGCCAAACATGCCCTGCTGCCCTCGGCGTCCAGGCTCTCCATCAACTCCCTAATAGCAAAATATTATGTTAGAGATCAATGATTCTTCCCTTGCTTTAAGCGAGACAAAAATCTGGGTTGAATGTGACACAACGGAAAGCATTTTAACCAAGCAGGAGGATCTTAAAGATTACCGTGGGAAGGAACTTCTTAATAGTTAAAGAAAATAGGGATAAGGGAAAGGAGCTGAGCTGTATATAGAGGAGACAAACAGTTTGAAGGAAAATGATGTATATATTTACTCAAAAGAAAGACAAACATTTCAGGAGAAGGAAAACATTAGGGCATTTTGGATTTACTGAAAATACAGAAAGAGGAAGGCTTTTTTTTTTCGTCCACTAAACTTCTTAGATTCATATTATTTCAGCCAAAAGTGTTGGGGTGAAGCAAGACTCACAGCAGATCCTGGATGCCCAATAGGACCCTGGATCCCGGTTGGTCCTGGGGGACCCTGTTGAAAGAGAAAGTAAATGAAACAGTCACTCTTAGTTCTGTGTTCCTGGTGCTGAATTCCTGGTCTTCCAATCTTTTAAAGAAATATTGGTAGGCCAACCTTAAAAAAAATGGCAAGCAAATGTGGGAGTAGTTTTAAAGGGCAATTGTTATAAGTTTCACCGAAGCCTTTGAGTAAACTTCAAACTCACCGCATCTCCTTTGTCGCCCTTGCTTCCCTTCTGTCCCGGGCCACCCATTTCTCCCTACACACACATACATTAAGAGACAGAGGGAAAAATAGAGAAAACATCATTACAGCAATTATTATCAGGAACATTTCTCCCACCAACTAAAGTCTTGGCTAAGGAAACCAGCTATAGGAATAATTGCTGGGAAAATCTCAATAAAGTTGTTGCCAAGCCATGTGTTGCCAAGGAAACAGAAATGGGTCTATGTAATCAAATGGATCCAGTGCACTCCCTATTTCCTCCAAAATGCAGATCCCTTACTTTGTAACCATCTTCTCCAGCAAGTCCTGGAGGCCCAGCTGGCCCTGGAAGCCCCACTGGACCTAGGATTCCATCACGACCAGATGGACCCATAGGTCCTCGATCACCCTGGGAAAAAGAAAACATAAGAATGGGGTCAAATAAAGATGTCTGCTATGGAAAAAAATATTCACTCTGCATAGAAAAGTGGATGCTGTGGTTTAATGGATACCTTAATTAAACACACTTTGGGAATAAACTTTCTTCAGACTTCTCAATTCTAAATTCTCAAACTAACTAGATACTGGCACTCAAAGATCCTTTGCAATCCACAAGTTATATACAAAGTATAGACATACAAATTTACATCTGAGTTATGTCACACTGGGGATGCTGATACAAAAGTCTCAAAGTGGCCACAAAGCTACATAAAAATTAGATTGCTGGCAACCAGTCAATTAATAGTCCCAATTTATGTTAGGAATAAAAGATAAATAATCAGCACAGGCCACTAATGGCAAGTTTTCTTCCTTTCAATTTTACTTGTAGTCATTTTTACAAATCAGCCTGTGACCTAATGAGCACATTTGAGTCTAACAAATCTTGAGATTTGACTGTGACATTATTTATACCAGGAAATTACAGACAAAATCTTGTATAAGTACCACTGTTTCATCTGTCATCCTGTTCTGATGGACAGGCTGCTTCTTAAAGTGCTGCAATTGGCAATTTATAAGGCAAGTATTAATGTAACGGTACTACTTCTTAATAATATGGGTGGGCATCTGGAAAACCTTTTAGTACTATTATTCATTCTTGGTATTTGGCTTTCCTGAATCCATTTTTATCTACAACACTTTTCTTTTTCCTATTAGTATTTTAATCCGATAGTGACACTCTTTTAGATTTTAATTAAAACTTGGCTAAGTGCAAAACTCTGCATATTGCATTTAGTAATGCAAAGTCTTGTTCTCCATCAAAAAGATTAAAATATAAAGTGATGAAATGAGAGGAAGGCATGGTTTTATGTACAAGGTCCAAAGCTCTTCCTAGGCTGAATTTATACTATCTTATCATGGATAGAACCAGACCTAGGATGGAGCAAGTGATGTCACCTATGGATCTGAGCAAAGAATCTCTTTGCATTGGAAGTAAAAGAATGAGACCTTAAGGATTTATTATTTCTCCACTCCTGGGTCTTATGGTTTCATCTTAAAATTCTTTCTAAGCCAAGATTCCCAATCTGATGTTCTTCAACAAACTGGGATCCTTTCCCATCACAGAGAAAGAATTTTAGGCTAACATATCTGGAAGTTGGGAAAGACTATAATAAGCATTCATTAGATGACTTTCCTTTTTTGAAGCTTCCAGGTGTCAAACTCGATTTCATTGAGGCCCACATCAGTGTTGTGTTTGACCTCGGGAGGTGGGGTGGGGGTGGCCAGCTATACGTCACTCATGTCAGGGGTGCCTGTGGTGGCCTGAGACCTCTGCCAGTGAAAATGAGTTGTTTCCAGGGTGGCTGTGTGGGTCAGATCTAAGCACCCCATGGGCCGGATCCAGCCCCCAGGACCTTGAGTTTGACACCCTGTTCTAGTTCACCTGCTCTTTAGGGTAAGATCATCTTGCATATTAGTTGAGCTCTGAATGTCTATTTCTAAAATTGATCATTAATGGCAACACGGTGCCTTGTACATACCGGTGCTCCTTTCTCCCCTGCAGGTCCAGGTGGTCCAGGATTACCCCCTCTTCCTGGTAGTCCTATGCCTCCAGCTGCTCCAGAGGGACCTCGCTCCCCAGGAGGACCCTATCAGGAAGTAATAAATCTATGAACCCCATTTATTTGATCTGAAGTTATCTCTAATGCAAACTTCTCCTTTGATTAATGTTCGCTATTAATTAATTCGGGCTGCAACATCACTACCAAGAATTTTACTCCAAGACTATCTTGCTGCAGTAAGGGTGTCTTCACTTCACTGATAATGAGTATTATTTGCAGACACACTCTCTCTCTCCATCATGCAACAAAAGTCTGATCTTTTGAAGTTAGGGGAAAATACTTACCATGGAGCCTGCTGGACCAAGTGGCCCTTCTGCTCCTTTCAGGCCTATTGGTCCCTGTGATAGAAAGTAAAACACAAGAAGATGACTTTCCATGGAGGTACCATCATTTCATGTTCCCTCCTTATTCTCATTCTCCTTTTCTGTTGGATCTTTTAGATCACAAACATGCAGGCAGGAACAGGAGAACTTCACTGCGATTGGAGAGACCAAAGGCTCATTTATCCTAGCATGATATTCCCAATAAGGAAATTGATCCATGGAATCTTTTACCCAAGGACCAAGACATAGCAACACAGCATCCTTAAGTTATGCATTCCAAGTACATTGCAATTAGAGGTCCATGACGATTGCAACTAAATAACCCAGTTAAATTAAATTAGCCTGGTACAGCATGGGCCTTTATTATATTCTATACCCATCATAACTATTAAGTTCCACATTATTTCCTGTTCATCTTCTTAAACACTTACTTTCTCTCCAACAGGACCACGGGCTCCTGTGAAGCCTTTAATTCCAGTAGGCCCTGGAATACCTGGGATGCCACCAGGTCCAGGATCACCCTAGAAGTAAAGATCTAGTATTACTATGCAGTTACTTCTAACAATTTTGATGTGAGCTGACTTCATTTGTCCTGCCGTACTTTAGACCAGTGTTTCTCAACCTTGGCAACTTGAAGATGTCCCGGACTTCAACTCCCAGAATTCCCCAGCCAGCGAATGTAAATATTTGTAAAATCTTTTTTAAAATTTTCAATTAAAAAAAAAAAAGAATAATGCAATCTAAGGCCCCAGCCACCTCTCCATTGCAGGCAGTGATTAGGACAGTGTTTCTCAACTTTGGCAACTTGAAGATGTCCCGGACTTCAACTCCCAGAATTCCCCAGCCAGCGAATGCTGGCTGGGGAATTCTGGGAGTTGAAGTCCGGACATCTTCAAGTTGCCAAGGTTGGGAAACACTGCTTTAGACAAACCAATTGTTTCCTATAGTTACTGGACCCAGATGTATGGCTCAGCATGTGGCCTTGCTATGGTCCCACTGCAAAGGATTTTGTAGAATGAAGGTTACATAAGCAAGCTCTTAATCCTTGTATTGAACATGACAAAAATACAGAATAGTTATTGCCTTAGGGCTGAAATGCAGCTCTTCTGGGATGTATATGTGTCAATCTGTTTAAGATAAGGTTGATTCTGGTTTAGGGACACTTGGCAGCATTTAAGAAAATCCATTCCTTTTCCCCTGCTCTCATCCCTTGTTTATGACTATGGTATCTGTAAGTGCTCACCTTGGCACCTTCCCTACCAGCAATACCGGGCAGGCCTTGTTCTCCAGGAGGACCAGGGGAGCCTGGGTGGCCTCTCTCCCCCATAGGACCAGTTTCTCCCGTGTTTCCCTGTAGAGAAGATGCAATGCTTTTGAGAGCAGGTTAAATTTATAATAAAACACAACTGTAAAAATATTAGTACTATGCTGGGTCATATAATTCATTTTGCATTTCAAGGAATTCAACTGATATTTCCATTACATCTTCTTATTGATCCAAGAAGAGCATAATCAAGATAATCTCTTCTTCTTCCTATATACATGGACTATATATATTACTACTTCAACATTACTGAATTGAAGGCTTGACACATAGCAATAGCAATAGCAATAGCAATAGCAGTGGACTTATATACCGCTTCATAGGCCTTTCAGGCCTCTCTAAGTGGTTTACAGAGAGTCAGCATATTGCCCCCAACAATCTGGGTCCTCATTTTACCCACCTCGGAAGGATGGAAGGCTGAGTCAACCCTGAGCCGGTGAGATTTGAACCGCTGACCTGCTGATCTAGCAGTAGCCTGCAGTGCTGCATTTAACCACTGCGCCACCTTGGCTCTTGGCACATGCATGCTAAGCTATCTGATGGTTTTATATATAACATGTAGCTATTATATCCATATATTTACTAGCTCGTAAGAGTTGAAGGAAAACATCATTGAAGCTACTGTAATAAAAGATCTCAAAGGAGGATGTATTTTTACAGTATTCTTGACAGAAAGCCAACCAGATAAGCAGCTTCAGTGAAAGAAAAAGTTACCTGCCAAAGCAGCCTATTTCACTACTGCTAGCTCTGTTTGCTATGAAGTACTAAGTAATGTTTAGCTAATACTTACTTCCTTATGTTTACTACTTCCCAAATTTTCATTCAGAACATTTTAATTCTCAAAATTGGGAAGAAGAGTATAAGCACATGGATATTATATCCCCAGTAGTTTTTAATGTGAGAGAAGGGGGGATATTAAATATTAAATACATAGGAAATAATCATTGCACTTAATTAACTTTAATTTTGCAGCATCTGTAACAAATGATGTCAACAAGACAACAAGCATACAATAACATAATCATACAATTGCCACTAGTGGGTCCCCACTCAGAAATCAAATATGATCTCTGATTAAGAAATGTTACATGTCCCACTGTAGTAGCTAGAAATTCTGGAATATTTTTCATGCATGGTATCTACTAAATTCAAACAGATATCATTAATTTTCTACATCAGGTTTGCACATGGGTCTTATTGCTACTTTAGCAACATGGATAGTATCTCAGCCAAGGTTGCCCAGTTTTAATTATGAATTCATATTTTTATTATAAATACATAAACTAAAGAACCTCTTTACCTGTGGCCCCACAACTCCTGTTGGCCCCGGTGGGCCAGTTTTGCCATGAAATCCCTATAAAAAAAGAGAAAGAAAGATTACTATCTAAGATGAAGATATTTTGGTCCAATGGAGATCTCTTTCATGGTTCATTCATCTAAGAGCCCAACAATTCCCAAACAGATATTGGATAATTAGTTTCAGGATTCCATCAAGTGGGATCATGAACCAAATTCATTGGGGAATTTCAAGTATTGGCCCAAAGTATCTGAAGAGTTGTATCAGATAAGACAAGTAAAAATGCAATACTCAACACCTGAAACCTAGTTGAATATTTTAATTTTGACGACTGATCACCTTAGAACTTGTAGAGACAATGGTGTGACTTACATTTTTTACTTCCTCTCATGAAGAAATGAAAATCATTTTGGAGAGTCAACAATAGAATGCTGAGCCCATTAAAGAAATATAGAGAAAGCAGTCAGACAAATTACCAAGGCAAGAAATCAGCAAAGGAGAATAAGAGAAACAAGGAGGCAGTTATCCACAGACCACATGGCAACAACCAACCTTGAGAGAAGTTTATATTAATACTTACTGCCTCACCACGCTGGCCTGGATGTCCTGATAGACCATCTTTTCCTACAGGTCCCTTCCAAACAGAAATAATTGTGGTTATTAAAAAAGATTCTGGTAGATGTTCAAGCACTAAATATGGTGCCTGTCAGAATCCTTCCCTCACTTAACTTCATTATTTATTTATTTGTAATTCTTCTAAACCAACCAGTCAATGGGAAAACTGGCATACTATAAAGGAAATGGCAGCTTTTATGAGGAAATATTCAATAGGCCCTGGAAAACAGAAAAGGAAGCAGACGTATTAAAAGAAGGACTTGGGCCATTATTGAAAAGATATCTTGATCCAGGGAGGGGAGAACAGGAGAAAGAGGCTCAAAGTAACTAATACTTCTCTAGACATTAGTTGATCTAGAGAACTGTTCTGACAGGCTTTCAATAATTTCTCTTTCCAGAAATGCAAGAGGTGCTTGTTTTCTGAGTTTGCCTGCTTCCAATACCATCTTTATTTACAAGAATATAATCGAGTCCCAAACATAGCTCTAGAAAACATAAATGGTGGGTGAACTGCAGCTCAGCAGTATGTTTAGAGGTTCACCAGTTGCCTTAAGAAAAAAAAAGAGAAAGATAAGCTTAGATGGCAGGAAGTGTTGCAGGAGAATGAGGGTGTGGTGAAGATTTCCTATTAAAAACTGCCAGATTCTTTTAGCATGGGCAACATTAGGAGGTAGAACCACTGCCATCTTTATAAGCATTTCTGGCGCAGTGATTAGGGTGCAGTACTACAGGCCACTTTAGCTGACTGTGATCTGCAGTTCAGTGGTTCTAATCTCACCGGCTCAAGG